TTTTCATGCAAAGAATATGCTAGGCTCCTTTGCATATTGAAAAATGTTATCTCATTAATTGATATTGTATAATATTAACTTAAAAATTATACATTTAACTCATTTAATGCCAAAATAGGTAAATGTAAGGACGAAGAAAAACGTAATGCTGTTTCGACCCGGTTGGATTGTTTTAGTTAGAAGAAATTTTGGGTCAAAGGGGTCACACAAATGGCTCCCAAACACCTGGCCTCTCGCATCTCACTCGGTCACTTAATATCGACCTGAAATTCATTAAGCAACAAAAACCATGATTGTTCGACCCAGGGTACAGGGTGCACTTAGTTACTACCGTACGATTTATTCGACGCATTTCTTGATGCTTCTGCCATCGATTCTTGATAATATACGTAGATTCTTATTTCATCTTATACTTTGGACTGAATATAAGCGGTCTACGGAAATATGAATCTGTGAAAGAAATATACACTCTGTTTTTTTTTTCTGTTGTCGTTCAAAAGTGTTCTTTCTTTTCACTATTCCTTTTTTATTTTGTTTTTTTTCTTTTCTTTTCTTTCCTTTCCTTTCCTTTCTCTTTTATATTTATATATATATATACATATATATAAATATATAAATATATATATATAATATATGTGTATATATCTCTTTGAAAAATGAACGATAAATAATTATCATCGTATATACCTGGTGCTTGTTAACCACACAGCGCAATTATTTTATTCTTATAATTTTATTAAAGAAAAAATGATGATCAATTTGTGCACACAATAATTGTTATTATTATTATTATTACTAAGTTAAAATTAATATAATAAAATAAAAGTTCCCATTAAAGATATATAATATGTAAGAAGACATATATATAAAAGAATTTTGTTGTCGTTTGTTTCATTAAATCTTGTGATAACAACAAGATTTTGTTTGTTTGTTTGTTTGTTTGTTCTCATAATAATGACAATATTTTTCTATCTCCCTGATGTACAATTATGTATTTTTATTTATTAATTATCTTATTTATATAGAGCTTTTTTGACATGACAATTTCAATGAATCTGTCATATTGGTTTATTTATAAATATATCTATATATAAATATATATATACATATATATATATATATATATATATATATATATATATATTTATATATATGATAAAGTAATATGAAATGTTTTAAAGATGCATCATATGTGTAAGGGTTTATGATAAATTGACCGTATCATACAATATCAAATCAATGAGAGTGTTGATATTATTACTAATTATTATTTATATTATTATTATTATTATTATTATTAATATTACTATTATTATCACTATTATTATTATTATTGTAATTATTATTGTAATTATTATTATTATTATTATTATAAAAAGATTATGAATCCTTGTGTATAAGACTACTGTCTGCATTTTTGTTTTAAATGTATAACACATGATACGTAGCACATATTATTTCAAAGGAGACACATATCCATGTAGACTGCTTATATTATACTTCTAAGTAAAATTGAAATAAGACTTACGTGGGGAATAGGAGCGTGATCTTGACCTGTCATAACGCGATCGTCGTCGGCTGTAATATGGACTCGGTGAACGTCGGTAGCTTCCTCTGTAGCTGCTCCTATATTGAAAATAATTACATTTAGTACATTTAGTATATTTATTATAATTATCAGATTGTTCGGTTCTTTTTTTCTTTTTTTTTTTTTTTTTGATTTTTCGTATTTTTTTAAATTTTTTGAATAATCGTATAAATTATGTTTCTGAAGTGTTTTCAAATTGAGTATTGTTTTTTTTTTCTTTTTTTAATTTGAAACATCTTAAATTATGTTGAATGGAGACAAGTACCTTCAAGGTTTTATAATTAATCAAATTGTTGATTTTGACAATGGCCTAACTCCATTCATCATATTTTAATAGGAAATATAAATTTAACATCTTTTTAGATATACTTAAGCAGTTTAACTAGTTAGTATCTTGTACTTATATTTTTCATTGCAGTGAAACGCAAACCCTTCGAACATAAATGGAGTTAGATCACTTTCAAAATAAACGGCTTATATATACTGACTCTCTACGTCTGGGTCCATCCCATCCTCGGTCGGGCAGGTGCGTTGGTTTTCCCATATAAATTCCTGGTGTGGGTGTATGGGCTCTTTGTGTTATTGAATAATCTACTCTTATCCGTCTTCCATCAATTTCCATTCCTGTGCATTGTTCTTTAGCCACTTTCGCATCCTCGGAAGATTCATAATAAACAAAGCAAAAACCTTTCGATCTTCCTGTCTGAAAATGAATATTAATGAATGAATGAATGAATGAATGAATTAATTTAATAAATAATATAATTGATTTGATAGAATTTAAAATATAATTGTAACCAGAGGCCTTTAACGTTTCAAATTCACTCAATAGATAAAACGCTTTAGATCACTGGTGGTTTATTATTCCCTTCAAATGAATATATATATATATACTTAAATATATAGATATATATATATAAATTCGTAAAGGGTTAAAGTTGATTTATAACGAGCTTATAAAAATGTACCTTAGCATCGATAACAATTTGTACACTTTCAACGGGTCCATGTTTGGAAAAGATGTGATGTATTTGTTGTTCTGTCGTAAATATAGAAAGTCCAAAGACACCTAAACACCGAGAAGGAGAAGGATTGTCTCTGTTACCAACGTGACGTCTTCTAGTCGACATCGGACTGCGAGAATGCGATCTATATATGTTCCTGTCACGTTCTCGCGAATAACGGGAACGTGAGTAGGATCGAGATCTGCTGCGAGAATATCTGCCACCTCTGTAAAGAGACCGACTGCGACTGCGACTACTTCCACGGTGGCCAGTGCCAGTATACTTATTACTCCGATATGACTTTCTACTTCTTGATAGAGAACGACTACGTGATCTAGAATATTCTTTGACCACTCTATGTGATTCTTTACGTTCACGTGATTTTCGGGATCTTGAATGTGAACGAGAATCTCTTATACCACCATCCGCTGTTCGTGGTCTTCGTGGACTTGAACTTCGACTACCACTTCTCTGAAAAATCAAACCATAAAGATATTAGTTTGAAATAATAAAATATACACATATAATATAACACAGAATGTTTTCTATAATCAAATAGTCAAATATTAGGGAACAATAATAGTTTCTTCAGCGTTACATCAAAGCGAGCTGAGTAGATCATCATATTGTTGATATTCTATTTAATCAAAAATATATTTAATAAATGGCCATATACACAAGAAAAATTCAAGATAAATTGCAATTTTTGGATAATATATATATACATATACATATATATATATATCATGTCCTATATATTTACTAAATAAATATTTTCAAGAATGATAGTTTTTTGCATAGTTATATATTAATAACAATGTATAATATACATATATACATTGTATAAAAAAATAAAAATAAATGAAATAATTATAATTTAAAATACACGCGACGTGCGTAGAACATTACGGATCGATAATGGCTGTAAGTTGTTGGCCGCATGTGTAACATATTTCTTTAATATTATAAATAAATGGAAAATAATAATCGATTATTATAATATGTTACTTACTTCGATATCGCTCATTATTAATTAACGATCAAAAATTATAGAAGAAAATGAAACTTAAGTAATTTAAACGAGTATAGACTCAATGATATCGTGGCGTCGATATATAATAATGGCGCAGATCCTGTTTTCGGGCGTTTCAGCGAGTAACGAACGGAAATAGTAACATTTTTGTCAATAAAAACTAGGAAAACGCCAACATCCGGCGTTGCTAAGAAACCTAATACCATTGGATAATAAATTGGCGCTACATGTTACACGATATTTAAATTTTACCCGCGAATTATTTGAACGACCTATAATATCTTTTTGTAATTATAAAATTTATTGTTTTTTTATTTGAATGATAACAAGTATTCATAGATAACATAATAGTTCGTACATTTATTTATTTTGTTCGAATTATTAAATGGAAGGATATTAAAATAAATGAATGTTAATATCTAAGATTTTATTTAATAGTAACGTAATCATAATAAAAGTGTAATAATTTCAAAAGATAACCACGTGTTACTTTAGTTCATTAAATGTAGATACGATTGAAGAGATATATTTAAAGTTATGTAATTCGTTTATTATTATTTATTTTTTTTTTTAATTTAAATGGTATCAAATTGTAACGTTTGTATCTGACTTTAACGAATTCAAAATTCTAACGATTAAATAAAATATCCCTAGATAATGTTTAAACGATTGTTTCACGGAGCCTAGCTAACAGGAGGTCGATCGCAATGTATTAGAAATGTTTGAGAATGATGGGACAGATATTTTGCCACTAGAGCGCGTTAGTGTGGCTAATATCAGGTTTTTAAAACTTTGTTTATTGTTGCGGGAATGTAACAATTGTCCTCACGTGTTAGTCAAAATAAATTAACCAAATCTTATAATTAACGTTAAAAATAGCAAGAAGAAATATTTTTGTATTATTTTAACATTATTTCCAAGATATTATCGTTAACTTGTTGTGTAAATCTATTCAATTTTATCTTACCTAGTCGCAGTTGAGTAAAGGATGGAAAACTAAATTTAAAAAGTCCAATTAAAAGTAAATTGTAAATTATAATCGTAAATTGCACTTTTTACAAAACTAGACTTTTTACCATTTGTATCATTGCATTTTTTTTTATATTAGTAATTAATAACTATCAATTAAGGTTATATTACCTATGATAAAGTGAATAACTTTCAATTGTCAATGAAAAATATGACGTTATAAACTTGACATTAGCGAACATAACGAAACCTAGCGGCGTATTTCCGAAAATGCTCTTTCCTTTTCTTTCCAGTCGCGTTTGCTAGTTATTTTCCTATGTCGATTGCCCTCCTGGTATCTAGACTCCGTGCGATTGTTTAATTGAACTATAATACAAGGTTATTTGTGAATAATATTCATTTGATATATTATTTTTCACGTGAATGAAATATATGTAATATAAATATACTTTGTATTATATATTTGAATGTTATATCCGTTATATCGAAAAGATAATATATTTTTTATTTTGATATATTTATAATAGATGTCGTTTAAATCCCGGCATAAGTGTGTGTATATGCGCGGAAAGTGTGCGCGTAGTTAATGCGCCTATAAAAATTGTTCATATCGAGTATTGCCGCAGAGCCATATAGAAGAGGAAGGATTCTCCGGTAGTCAGCTAACCATTTTTCTGTCGTCAAACGGATCAAGCTTTTTGTGAAACTTGGATCGATCACAAAAAGCGGGATTCGCTTTTCGTATAGGAATTGGCCTGTTGAAGGAGTCTACCCTCCCCCCGAGCTTTAGTCGCGTAGAATCTTTATAAATTGTGAGTAAAATAAATAAGTCGTGACTACTTTATGTATGAATTTGCGATTTTTCTTGTTTCTTTTTTTTTTTTTTTTCAAAGATGCATACTGACCGGTCCAACCTCTATTAATATACATATATTTCTATTATTTTATTTTATTACGAATTACATTAAAGAATTCAATGAACAATAAGTAACGTTAAAATGATCTATTTATTCATACCGTGTTGTTACATATCATCATACATTCATTTACATCATTAATATGTTTAAATTTAATCGATGAATTTTACAACTATCATGGCTGCCCAGTGCCGGTTTTTACTATCATTTGATATACTATTAAATTAAGAATATATATCGTTTATTTGCATATTTAAAGTCATCTTTTCCATACATTTCAAAAGTTTCATTTTGTCACATTTCTATTTGGTTCATTCAATTATCTTTATATTAATGTTTATTTATTTCTTTTTCTTTCTTTTTTTTTTCTTTATTTCTCTTTTTTTCAGAAAGTTTATTTCATTACGTAATTATTAATCCTATTTTGAAAATCTGTTTAAGATAGAAGAAAGTAATGCATATATAATAATATGTTGTATATAAGTTTTCAAGTACATTTGTACTCTAATCTAAATATTGAGATTGTAAGTTAGTCGTTATTAAATAGTTGGATCTATTGGAACACGTCAACACATATTTCATATTTCTTGTACAAGTTTTTGTTCAATTTCAATATGCTAATTTAAATATATGTTATTGTTATTATATATACATATTTATAAGATATTGTATCATTGACAAGCTTATTTGATTGTATCGTTATAATATTGTTACAAATTCTCAATATTAATCAAAATTATGATCATAAATTTTGTCAATTATTTTCTACATATAATAATATTTGAATTATAATCATCAATCATAATTAATTTTAATTATTCATTCATACATTATAATATTACAATAATACAGTTTAAATAATAGTTGGTATAAAATATTATTTTTTTAAAATGTTATTCACAATATTTTACTCATTTTGACATTTATTTTATACGCTCACACATGTAATATAAATAAATGTATGTATGAAACGTACCTTTGAACTGACATTAATTTTTTTTTTCTTTTCTCTTAGATTTATAAAATGGAAGAAATACGTCAACAACATCAACAACATCAACAACATCAACAACAGCAACAATCATCACCACAACAGCAACAACCATCACCACCAGTACAACAGCCACAACAACAACAGGTTGGACCTACGATGATGGTCAACGTAGGTAACGTTTCCACCCATTCAAGTAATTCCCATCGACGCAGCAAAGCACGATTAACATTACAAGCTATGATGTCTGACTCATTATCACTATCAGAAGCAGCTCGTTTAGAAATGGAAGCATTACCTAATAAAACACCTGTATCGGTTCTTCAAGAACTACTTTCTCGCAGGGGTACAATACCTAAATATGAATTAGTTCAAGTGGAAGGTGTTATACACGAACCAACGTTTCGTTATAGAGTTACCGTTGGTGATGTTATTGGTAAGTACGTAAACAATATTTATATATACAAATTATTTTTGTATAATCTTGCATATATGTTAAATACAATTTTTCATTTACCATGATATCTTTGTGAAAAATATAGAATTTAATTATTAACAAGACATTTGATTAATTATAACAAAAAAATATTGCATTTGAGTTAATCCAATTGTTTTTTTTCTTTTGTTTACAGCGATGGGTACTGGCCGATCTAAAAAAGAAGCTAAACATGCTGCAGCTAAAGCAGTTTTAGATAATTTAATTGGAACTAGTAATGAGTCGTCAGAATCTGCCATTATAAAAAGTTTGACAAAGTAAGAATGTACACACACACACTTTCTTCGTTAAGAAATTGGTGATATTTATTATTTAAGAAACATTCAAATGAATAATATATTTATTAACTGTAAATATTATTTGTATACAGTCAAGCTATGCAAGATCTCGAAGGATACGGTGAAGAAAAAGATATAGCCAATCCAATTGGAGTTTTGCAAGAGATGTGCGTGTCTCGGCATTTCCCACCGCCAAAATATACGATGGAAAATGAAGAGGGATTGCCCCATGAAAGAAAATTTACTATTGTTTGTTCAATCATGAGTTTACGCGAATATGGCCACGGTAAAAGTAAAAAAATTGCGAAGAGGCATGCGGCACATAAAATGTGGCGTCTTCTTAACGAATCCGGCCCTTCAATACTTTATAAAACAGGAGAAGAGGTAAAATCATATTTTATATTTGCTTAATACTTTATAAAGTTTCAAATTTGCTTCAATTTATTATAAATTATAAGAAGAATATTAAATAATTTAAAAGAGACAATTTGTTATTTTAAATAATGTGAATGTTGATAACAAGATTATCAATTCACATTAGATTTTTCTGTTTTTTTCTCGTATAAATATATATTTATATATATATATATATATATAGGTTATTAAAATAATATAATTATAGGTTATTTATAATAATATTATTATAAGTTATTTATAATATAAGTTATATAAAATATATATAAAATATATATTGTAGATGCTTTGTTATGTGTGTGCATGTGTATTGTTTGTGTGCATGTGCATGTATGAAAGAATAATGAAGTGGAAGTAATTTGTAAGAAATTAAAATTATTCTTTTTTTTTGGATCTATTATTTTATTTATAAAAAGCTACCTTTCTGATCATATTTATTAGGATCTATAGCGGACAATATTGATACGATTAAAATTACAAGTAATTCCAAGAATTATAAATTATTGAATAACAGATTGGTTGCATTTAAATAATTTATGTTCCTTGCGTCATTTCCACTTCATTTTGTCTTTTCTCTCGTTTTTTTTTTTTTTTTTTATTTATATATACAAACGTTTACTATAATTCTCTTTTAGAAACATTTAACCAAAATGTTTCTTATCAACTTTATTAATTAACACGTCCGTTATAGAAAGAAAAAGGTGTGAAATTAAATACCTATTACTGTGACCTGAAAGGTAGCAAAGTTTCGACGTTATCATCGTCTCATAGTCATAAAGTTTCACAATTTCACAAGAACCTCAAGGCTTCCCAAGGTGCAGTACTTGATAAATTACAGGTTTGTATATTTTATTATTATCATTATAAGTAATTTATTATACTTTTTTTTTTCTTCTTCTTTTTATACGCTTATTTATCAACTTATAATTATAAATGAATTAAACTATTGTTATTTGTTTCAGGATACTTGTTTGAATGATGGAGATATAAATTTGGTACAATTCTTACAAGAGATTGCTTCGGAACAACGTTTTGAAGTAACGTATGTTGATATCGAAGAAAGGTCTGTTAATGGTTAGTACATTTATACATTTATACATAGATTTGAAATAATAGAAATTGTTGGAAATATTTTTCTTTATTTCTTATAACGTAATGGTAGTAAGAAATTCAATAATTTCATATTTAAAAATTGAATTTATTTGTAAAATTACAAATATTATTAAATGCAATATTTAAAATGATAGATTAATTAGTTTTAAACATTTATAATAATGTTCGTTTATTTTTCGGTAATTACTAAATCGATTGAAACATCGTTTTCAGTTGTTGGTATGTCGTCTATTATTTGTTCATTAAATGCTATCGCAATTAAATGCGGTTTTCTTAGTTGTTTTTCAAAAGTATAATTTAAGAATTTATCATAATATCCTTTACCATGGCCTAAACGTTTTCCTATAAATGCAATAATATTATACAGTTATATTAAGATATACACATTTAATTGCATTTAAAGATTACAATAATTTACCATTGTAAGTAAAGGCTACTCCTGGTATGAGAATAAGATCTAATCCATCTGTAAAGAAAGGAAAAGAAAATATTTTTGATTTTTTTTTTTTTTGTGATATTTATTTAACATTGTATGATTGATACGTTCAAATTTTTCATTTACCAGTTTGAAAAGAATTTTCTCTAATTTCAGAAATGTCTGGTTGTTTAATATTCCATTTTGTTAATGGTAGTTTGTCATAATCATCCATAGAAAGTAATTTAACCATTTCCATGGTATCTCCGTTATATCTGGGAACGAATACGTCTTTTCCTGTTTTAAATATGTCTTTCAAAATAAACGTAGTGTCAATTTCATCTTTAGTACTGAGATATATGGAAATTCTTTGACTATTTTGATATTGTGGTAATGTTTTCAACTGTAAATAATATATTTTTAAGTCATTACATTATTTCTAAATTGTATTACTACCTATCACTATGTTAACACACATAACCTCTTTTTGGTTATAGAAAGTTTATTTTGAATTACTAAAAATACTTGTATGAAAAAAAAAAAAAACATTAATCTATCTTACTTTTTCAAATACTTTCATAGATTGTCGTGCTTTTTCTTCAGCAGTGATATTTGAAATTACATTAGCCATTTCTTTTCGTAATAACTTTTTCAAAGATTTGATAGTTGCCATGTTGTTCTGCATTTTAGGAATGTGTTCAATAATATGATAATCAAGTCATTATAATTAGATATTTATATCTATTAGGTGATAACAAGTTTCTTATATAAGATTATTTTATTATTTAATATATAATTATCGTGATACAAAAGTTTACGTAATATATATATATATATATATATATATCACATGTTTGAAATATTTTCTTTTCTATTTTATAAACATTTATACTACACTCTTTGTTTTATAATTTATTTTATTATTTAAATATTTAAATTATATAAATAATAAAAATAAATTATATAAAACAAATATTTTATTGTGTCAATTGAATGAAATAATAATAATAATAATTATTTTATTAATAAAATTGTAGGTAAATGCCAGTGCCTTGTACAATTGTCCACATTGCCAGTGGCAGTTTGCTATGGTTGCGGTGTAACCAGTAACGATGCTCAAGCCAGTGCTGCTCAAAACGCTCTTGAATATCTCAAGATCATGACCAAAAAGTGAGCCAGCGCTCTGCTCCTGCCAGCTGTCACTGTAAACTGCAAGTCCCATAGTAATATATTATCTAAAAATCTGAATAATCATAAGGATGGTAAAATGATGGTGCAGAATAACAGTCAAGTTCCAGAAAAGGGAAAAAATGTTCAAAAATACGAACATATCGGTAACAAGGGTAGAACATCTAAATCATCAATGAAAATGGTCAATTCAATGGTAGGAAACAAGGATACTATTTTAAAGAACATTACTAAAACGCAGGATGTTACTGTCGCAGCTACTAGAATGAATTCATCAATGAAGAAAAGTAGCAATAATACAAACAATTTAAAACTCAATGATCAAACATTGAGCAAAGGTGGTTCATCTATCTCAGTAACGAATCAAACAAGTTCAACGTTTGGTAGCGTGCGAGGTGTTAACAGTTGCGTCGGTGGTAATGTGAGTCATGAAAATAGTGGAAAGATAAAGGATTATTCGGTTAAAAAATATTCTAATGAAATAAATACAAAATTAAATAATTATCAAATGCAGTCGGATTACGGTAATAAGGATACAACGTCGGTAACTAATCAGGATTACAAAAGTCGTAATAGTAACAACGCATCTTTGACCAATTTGTCAACGAGATTTTCTAATCAAACGTCCATCCAATCATTGCACAGAGAAAATCATTTGACTTCTAATATGCACTCACGTCCAGCATCCAGGAACGATAGTACAGCATTTGCAGTGGCTAGAAAGGCATTGGAGCAACAAAATTCAACAGTTGGAAAAATGGCGCCAATCAATTTTCCACCATTACGGGCGCCTCAAAGTATAGTGAACGTACGACATCCTTCAGTAACTGAAGCTAGAATCAAACACAACGATATTAGCGGCGGTTCGAGCATGAAGTCGTCGAAATTGAACGTGTCAAGTTCGTTACAAACTTTTGCTAGTGGTGGTGGTGGTGGTGGTGGTGGTGCCGGCATTAAGGATTTGGAACACGGCAGACAAACTTTTCATAATTATGGTACCTCGCAAATAGCAGCCGGTATTCCAAATGTACAGAATTTGAGTAACGTTACGGCTAATATCTCAGCGGCATATCCGAGACCCGATTCGTTTCCTCAAGCAACCGTTGCCAACGTGTTGTTCTCAGACACAACACCCTTTCCACAATCACCACCATTCAGCACGACACAAATCGGTCAATTAAATCAGTATCAGACGTATGATCCTGGTAGCTTCGCGACTACACCGGTAAGCGTTAATCCGGTAATCCCACAGTTCTCAGCGGAAAGTTCAATGCCGTATCCGGCTCAATACGAGAATCCACCGCCTCAATTTGTACAACCAAATCATTATACGGCAACTGACATGGCAAACAGTCAATATCAATATCAGCCAGCTGGAGTTGGTCAAATACAAGACTCACCAATGTTCATACAAAGTCTACAAAGTCCGATAACTGTTGCCGATCAATATGCCGCTGCTGCAGCACCTAATTATGCCAGAGCTGTCAGGACAGAGTTGATGCCTCGTTTGAGAAGACCACCGAGATTTAATAAGTAGAAAAATATCTATAATCATTAATTCCAACAATTATTCTTTCTACTACCATTTTACTATTAACAGAAAAAAAAACCAAACATAATTAACAAATGTTCTCTATCAACGAAACAAACAAACAAAAAGAAAAAAAACTGGAACTTGTGTACTCTGGAAGAAACTTGTGGACTTTAATCGGGGGAGGGGGGCATGGGGTAGTTAGTTAGTTAGTTAGTTAGTTGTTAATTTGGGACTTGATATTGTTTAATATTACTTTTTTTTTTCCTTTTCTTTTGGATTTTTTTTTTCTTTTTTTTTTCCAACTTTGATATTTAAAAAAATTCATAGACTGCAGTTATAGATATAAAAATTTAAATAACATTTAAATAATTATAGTCATCTCTCTCGTTGAACCGATGAGAATCTTTTTCCTACTTAGAGAAAATTAATGCGAATTGAATCCATGAAAAAAAAAAAAAAAAAAAGAATTAATTCATATAACCGATTAAGAAAAATTCTATCACGCGTTGTATAAGACGAATAGAATAGAAAAGAAAAAAAAATAAGATGTGAGCTAAAAATTATTTCAAATTTTGATCCAAACTTGAAATAAATTTTAGCCAATCTTTATGAATTTATTCGTGATCAATTATAAACGTGTTTGTATAAATAACAACAGGGGGGGGGGGACAAGAGACAAAAGAACCAAAAACAAATGGTATTTGAATGAATTCTCTGATATAATGGATGATCATCGCTAAAATAGTGTATCATATGTACACAACGTTATCGAGTATTTCAAATATTCGCCAAAAACTTTGGATTTAGCCAATAGGATAATAAAAGTGACATGGCAAGAAAAAAAGGGAGCAGATCTTTAAGTTCGACTTTATAAATATATATATATATATAAACAATATTACGGTGTAATTATATTATTATTATTATTATTATTGTTGCGTGCCGACTATACCATGTAAAAAAGAAGAAGAAGAAGAAAGAAGAAAGAAGAAAGAAAATTTACAACAATAAATTTATCAAATTATAAATTATAATAATTCTAAGTCGCAGATGACAAATTAATAATAGTCATACACCATACATACATCTTGTATTATTATAAGATATATACATATACATATATATATATATATATATATATATATAATAATGGTCGCAGAACGCGTATATTTCAGACCTAACTTATTTTCGAATCTTGGACTAATTTTTGTCAACGTAGATGAAGAAAAAAATATTAAAATCTAAATGAGAGGGGATAGATGGATATAGAAAAGATAGAAGAAATAAATAAAAATAAGAAAGAAAAAGGTTAATAATATAAAAGAAGAAAACATAAAAGGAAGGCTGTGCCGGCCCGCGTGTCGCGAAAAAGTTTCGAAATTTTCGCGATAACAAAATAATAATAAAAGAATATATTAAAAAAAAAAAAAAAAAAAACACGGGTAACGAAACTCATCGCAGACTCCACGTCGTTTACGTTTCATTCAAAAATGGAATACTGTGAAATAAAACGAAATAATAAAAAGAAAATAAAGAAGATGAAGAAGAAGAAGAAGAAGAAGATGAAGAAGATGAAGAAGAAGAAGAAAGTTCGTTAGGTTGAAAACAAAAAAAGAAAAAAAGAAAGAAAGAAAGAATGATGGTTCATGATGTCCTTGTAATTAAAAGTTGTAACCTTAACGAATGATGTTCTACTATAAACTATACTTTGCATAGAATTAGTGAAAGTTTTCCAGTATGTATAAATAATACAATATAATTTAGGTTTACAGCTATGTTTTTTAGCTATGTGCTTTACAAGAGGGGAATGTAACTTGTAACGTAACACGTTTTATCGATTGTTAACGTAATCTATGAAAGAAATGGTGCATTTAAATTGGAATCATTTTCTTTTTTGTAAAAGGAAAATTAATGAATAATAATAATATAAAATAAAAAGAAAGGTATACATATATATATATATATATATATATATA